AGGTTATTTATATATATATATATATATATATATATATACGACACGTGACCACCTACTATCTCTTCATCCCTCGACCTTTAACCGCCAAAACTTAATAACATTAAATGCCCCTCGTACACAAACTACTAGACCAAAATGAAAATTATACCTTTGTATAAAAAGAAAAAATTACATTAAAACCAATGAAATTCAAAACGCCAACCACAACACGATTACGAAACCGACGGGCCCCTCGAGCCACCCGCCACTCTACAAATGACAGGAATTCAATAGGATTTTATTTGGGGTTGCACTATAACCTTACCGAGTGGACAGCCGGATGGCCGAGCGGTCAACGTGGCAACCTACCACTCTGGAGGACCCGGGATCGAATCGGGACGGGTCGAAAAATACCAAGAATTTCTCGGGGGTAGTCCGTCCGAATATGTCGGGCCCAGCCACCCCATTGTGGACTTACAATAAGAGGCCCTCTTAGTGTCCACAGGGCGAAAAGAGTTTAAAAAAAAAAAAAACCTCGCGGAGTTTGACCAAAATCGGTGACTCAACGTCATGCCGTCTCTTGTTAGTAAATTGATTCGTAATCATTTTCGATGCTAATTTTAGCTCGGATCAATGAATCATCTATTTCAGATTGTTATTTAGTCTCAAAAAACATCCTACTAGATTCCCCGAACCATTTTCTACATCGAATCTATGTAATGTAATCACGAGCTTCTAAAAGAGAAAGAAGCAATAACGTTAAATCACGTGACAGCTTCAGCCAATCACCGTGATGAATTCCTACTTTCAAGTGCATGTTACAACACGTTTAAATCTTATTTTCGCGTTATATATTCTTATTGGACAAATGTCGTGACGTCGTCATACAGCGTATCCTAGTGATCGAATCTAAGATTAAGATTTCCTAATAATGTTTCATCCATGTCACACTTCTGGCAAATCATCATCTCACTTTTCTCAATTTCTACATAACTTAGCCAAACTCGATAATTTTTTTATTCCACGCGGAACAGCGAAATCACTGCACGATTATAATTAAAAAAATTGATTAAAGTATACAGTCGACCCCCTATAATTACGGTCCCTATAATTACGATTCCTATAAAACTACGAAAAAATTGTGACCGGTATCCGTAAAAAAACAATAAAAATTCCCTATAATTACCTCAAACGTCATCGGGCAGCCGAACTACTTTCCCGCCGTCCGTAGCGCCACGCTACGGAGAGATTTCTATCGTCTGGACAGTATTATATAAATTATATATAAATTAGGTACTGTACATATAATTATATATTAATTATATATAAATTAGGTACTGTATATATAATTATATATTAACTTATTGTAACTTTGTTATAATTAAATATATAATTTCCGCCGTCTAGCGTGGCGCCACGCTACGGAGATTTTTACGCTAACTATCGTCTGTCAGTATGTAAATTAGGTACCGTAAGTCTAATACAGTACTGTAATTTTATACATTTCTTGTGAAAGAAACATTTCTTATTCAACGGCGATTAAAATTATTTATATTAATGATGTCTCCGAAGTTCTACGAAGTTTTCACAGAAAAATAAGTTGTTAGAAATCGGCCGCTCTTTGCTGAGCTGTTCCGCGACGAAAACAATGTTGAGCAATGGCAATGTCGAATGGTGACACTCGGTAAGTAATCCTACAATTTTTTGTTTATAGCGTAGTTTATACGGATTATTCCCAAAAAAAATATACGTATTTTGGAAATGTTGAGTCGGATTAGTCTAGAATCGATTAATTTTATGGAAGAAAATCTTTCAAACAGCCGTAGTCCGTAAACTTGACACGTGTCGGGTTGTGATTGGAATGATTCGTAAGAAATCGGATTCCTAAAGAATGGAACGTATCTCTATCTTATAGGGGGGTCGACTGTACTGTACCTAGGTAACCCCAATGGCTTCCGATTGTTCGTGCTCCCGACGGACTCAGTGGTGATATTCGAAATATTTAACAAAGGGTTCTCTAACAGAAAATTTTTCCTTAATAATTTTTTTCTCGAGTTGACTGAATGCCTGTGAGCAGTCAACTTGAGAAGAACCCGGATATTACACGCGATGATAAAACTGACATAACTACGCGGTAAGTCACGAACACCGACAAACAACAGTTTGTCGGTGTTCGTGACAAATGGAAGTTTTGGTTAGAAATAAATACAATACTTTTTCTTGCGATATAATCTAATAATCTAATTTGTTATTGGATTTCTATTAATAATATATATTTTTATCTAATAATAGACAGATGTCATCGTCTCTCGAAATACAATATCTTTTTTATTTTGCTGTCGATAGCCCGACACGTGTTCCGCAGCCATCTTGTACTTTCTCGCGCGCGTGGGATTGTGGGATCTCTCTTATGACTGGATCTAGTTTCGAGAACTCTCTCCAGTCGATCGCGATTGACCCTCGTTTCAGTCGAGATTGAAACGGTCAAGGGAGATCGCACCAAGGCGAACGGGGTATAAGGCTCTAGTTTAGTAGTGTTACAGAGTATAATTCGTATATCTATATCTATATATATAAAAATGGACGTGTGTGTCCCTATATTTCACTTTTTAGCCAAATCTACACATCGCACATGAATGGTGTTTGTATGTGGTAGTACCCTCAAGTCTCCATTCGTGCGCTATGGTGATTGCGTCTCGATAGCTATAAGGGTGCGGGAGATATGGGATTGAAAGTGGTTGACTTCGAAGATGTGTAACAATGGAAGTGTTAAGAATGCAAATGTTAACAATGGAAGTGTTGAGTAACAAAGGTTAATATAAAGCGGCATGTATTTACAGACGGTTTTTTGCGTTTTGCGGGAAATCGAACATATTTTTAGACTCATGTAAAAGTTCTCTAATTAGTCTGGAAACGGGGTACCTAATTCTTGCATTCTGTGAAAATGGGTAAGATTGGCTATAATGTAATTATCTTAATCTTCACTATCGTTACTTTTTGCCTACAAATAAAAACCCAGCGAAGCGGGACCTTGCAGCTAGATTCTAGATTACAGNCTTTTAAACAAGCTTTAAATCATTAATTTTAATTCACTTTCATCCAATTTATCAAAAATATCTTAGGAAATATTAGTTTTATTAATGATGCATAACACATTTAATTGCATCTGAGCCATTAATTAACAGAATACATTCATCATCACTATTAACTGCATCATAGTTATTATATTTCACAACATGGGCTTCAGTTGTTATTCTTTAAAAAAATCTAAATTACTATTAATATTAATGTAGACATCCAAAGTGATTTTGGAAACTTTCAATTGCTTTTTAGATAACATGATCTAATTTTCTTCTAATGAACTTAAAATATTGTTACTGAATGCATAATCCTGTATAGTTTCATGTTTAATTAAGTGAGAGTAGTCTGGTGAATTTGCCAAATTTAGTTTACCTTAACAAAACATATTATTCTGTTGCCCTGCAAGAACAGTTCACTGTATTGAAATTTTCAACTTATCAAATATTTTTAACATTAAATGTATAGTAAATGGCAAATGTTCCTGAAAATAGTTCACTTTATAAGAATCGAGTGTATAACAAACTGATATCAATTGGATGATTTTCAAAAATTTTAAATAAAATTCATATTTGCAGGTTTGGTGATATCTCATATCACCACTCACAACCTTATAATCTAGCTTTTTTAGTTTCTGAGAAGTTTTGCAGGCAATCAGATAAATGACAAATTGACTGTAACAAATATTTAAATGATTTATTATCTATATGTTTAATTTTTGTAAGACTTTAAATACATAAACATACCAAAATGTAACAGATGATTAAACTTACCAAAATGCATCAGAAGGTCCATCGTATCTTTGCTTGATAAAATATTTAGGATTATTGCAATAATAGAAGATAAAATCAGTTGTGATAAATTCCTTTCAAATAAAAATACTTGAGCAGTAACTAAAGTCATGACAATGACAATAACTAAATGAGAAAGCATAAATCATTAGATATACAATAATAATGTCAAACAATCGAGAATACAGTACTTACAAGTTCCGCCGATGCCTAAAATCATGCATTGCTTGAATACTTTATGAAATATGTAAGGCTGAAACGATATTGCCGAACAAAATACATATATAGGTATATAGAAATACTGGATAAATAATAAATACCAATACTGAATTTCAAAAGTTTCTAATTTTTGTTCATTGAAATGCATTGTTATTATTGCAGTAATCACTCCATAAGAAACTTTTACAAAGTTGCTTAAAAATTTGAACTTTCTGAACACACATGTTGATGCAGCTGTAAATATAAATGCTAATTTCATAAACCAGAATGGGCAAAATATGTTTTTTCACATATTATTACTACATAGACTACTAAGATCCCATAGTAATTACATAGTGTTTCGATTACAGTCGACCCCCCATAACACTGTTGATTTTTCCGTTTTATATGAATTCCATGTTGTACGAGTCACTTAGATTTTACAAATACGTGAGCCGTTCACAGCCCGGCACACGTATTTGTAAAATCTAAGTGACTCGTACAACATGGATTTCATATAAAACGGAATTATCAACAGTGTTATAGGGGGGGTCGACTGTAC